GCCAAACACAAAGTCCAAACGCATGGACTGCCAGCACCCAGTGGGTACCGGTAAGCTGACCGGCGGTGCAGCGGCATTTGGAGCAGGTTTCACCCGTTGACACGTCTCACACGTGCGCACATAGGTGCTCGTCCATTTGTACAGCTTGGGCCACCAATACTGGTGACTCACAGATTTGTACGTTCTCTCACGACCGTGATGACCACAAAGTGGCGTGTCGTGAGCCTCATAGAGGATGCGGTATTTCAAATCATCATCATGAGGAACCACAATTCGTGGTGTATCCGTCGAGTCAGTGCTAAAAAAATAGCAACCCATTATTCAACGGATATCGGTGTAATCGTGCACGCAGTCTTGGTGATAATTTTTTGTTCGAGACTCTAAACTCGATGCTCCCGAGAGCCCGTAGCAGTGCTACACACATCCCATCACCCACACACGCGGTGCGGATCAATCCCGTCACAGACGACGTTACAGTTGTAACATGAGCAAGCTCCTAGTCTGGTCTGCGCGACAACGCATCAGCCAAAGCATTCTGCTTTCCCAGCTTATACTTCAGCTCAAAGTTATATTTCGCGAAGACGGATAGCCATCTAGCGATCCTCTGCGAGAGGTGGGGCGACTGAGACGCAGTGCGTAGTGACGCATGATCTGTGTGGATCACAAACGGCTTGGAGTCGAGCAGGTGGACTTTGAACTTGACAAGTGCAAATTTCATCGCAAGTATCTCCTTGTCGTGAAATGGGTAGTTCTTCTCTGCAGCCTTGGGCTGTCGAGATTTGAACGCAATCAACCGATCTCGTCCCTCGGCGTCTGCTTGCAGCAGTGCACAGCCGATGGCAAAGTCCGAAGCGTCACAGACGACGCTGAAAGGACGATCAAGGTCTGGCAGCGCCAGTATTGGTGCATGCAGGCGGTTGCCTTTGACTCCGTCCATAGCCTCCTGATGTTCGGTGTTCCGACACCATTCCGCATCGTTTTTAAGGAGGTTGGATAGTGGCCGGGTCATTCCTGCGTACGTTACGCTGTACTTGTGCAAGTAATTGGCGAGACAAGCCACTTACGCAAGTCCTTATGGTTCTTTGGAATCGGCCAGTCTACAATGTCCTTGACCTTAGCGGGATCCGCTCGAAGGCTACACTTCCCAATGAAGCACCCTAAAAAGGGAATCTCTTCTGCGCCAAAGATGCACTTGTCAACATTGGCGAACACTTTGTTCGTGCGTATGCACTCGAGCACCGCTCTAAAATGGATGCGGTTTTCCTCATTCGTCCTCCCGTGCTCCGCACGACTATT